TATATGAATGAATACAAAATTATAAAACTTGCATAATAAAAGTATTAAAAGATGGTTGTTTATCTAAAATGTTAAACAAATCCCTCCCCAAATACTATATTAAACTTATTTTTAGTAAGTTTTGTGTATTTAGTGTTACTAAATAATGTTAAAAGTTTTTTAGAGGAAATTAGTTTTCAGAAATTTGAGGAAATTAATTTTCAAAATCATAAGAACTTTTAACTTATGACGTTTTAAGTTAGCAACCATTTTTGGTTAAATCTATGCTAGCAAATAAAGCAAAAGCTGATTTTTTGGTTTTTTTTGTTAATCTACTGTGGAAAATACTTTCTTAACTTTAAATATTACTTTAACACCATTTTAAATAAATTTTCTAAAAATACTTAAGAACATGCCAAAATTGATCAAACTTCTCTTCATTTGTTTAGACACTTCTGTACTTTAATGCTGTGAACCGTATTGAATGTTAATCCTTAAGAAATGTTAATCCTCAACGAATGTTAATCCTCAAGAGACAGTCAAATAAAAGAGAATACAAACAATAATAAAAAAAAATTAACAAACAATAATAATAAAAATAAGAAATAACGAAAACTAAAAAATTATTTAAAAATTTTAAAATTTATAAAATTGAATAAAAAGTTATAATAATAAAAAGATGGAGAAATCTTTTCATTCAATTGTTTCAAAAGCCATGTCCGTAAACATAGTGATAGTGCAATAATCAGTAAGCAAGATACATACGAGAAGTCGTACCGCGTGTCAGCGTCCCAAACAATCAAAACCGCACTCACAGTGAAAAACTAAAAGAGAAGAAAGAACAATGCGAAGACATAATCAAATGACTCAATAAATAAATCGCTACTTTGATAAATATTTAAATGGTAAAGAAACAACATCAAGTTGCTCAACAAAAATTGCATCAAAAGCTTTCTTATCTTAAAAGGTAGAGGCAACAAAATAAAGAAGTGCGTAATACACTTAATATTCCAGCGGCCGAAATTAAATCGAGACAAGAAAAATAAAGCAATTTAGTGATAGAGGATTTAAAAGAATGAGTTGACTAAAACGTCATTACCTTCGTTTGCAAAAAATTGATCATAATTGTGATCAAAGCAAAAGAAAAGTAGTAAGATGTTTTCAAGTCGCTCTCAAACTGGAAACATCACAATATGACGTCATCAAGTAAAGAAACTTTTATAATATTGAAGTATTAATAGAGATCTTTATTTAGGAAGACCGTACTCCAGCCAAACAGGACGCATTCATTGAACATTTAACTAAGAAAAAGCAAAAAAAAGCAGTCAACTCCAAGCTCTTTTTTTTTTGTTTTGTCAACAACAATTACTGCTGCACCAGTACCAACAACATCAAACAGACTTAGTTAACTCAAACACAAATTCGACAGCCATCTTAACCTACAGTTCCTCAGCTACATTCAAGACAAAAGTATCAAGTGCTTAAACTCATCAACCCGTCCGTCAATCTCAAAAAATCACTTCCCGCAGACTGTTAGCACTTTCACTTCAAAACAATGACAACAAAATACCAAACTAAAACAACTAAGATTCCGAGCTAACAACAATACGATGCCGCGATAAAAAATTCAAAAGAAGCAACTTTATGCAGAAATTTGGTTTAATTTTATGCAACAACTTTAAGCAGAAATTTGGTTCACTGATATATCACATATGCAACTCACTGGTTATCAACTACACTGTAGCAACCTATAATGTCCAAAAGGTAGAGTTGTAGCCATATATAAAAAAACGGTATTGCCTCAGCTGAAACTAATATCTAACAACATCATAAATAATGGTTTCAAATCAGTTCTTCTAGGCTGCATGTACAGACCTCACAACCACGAGGAAATATCGTTAAAAAAAAATAATCAAATCCATCATAGCTGCGAAACAAAGTTTTTCCTCACTTGAATGTGTTTCAATGTTAAATCATGGAGATCTTAATTTTAGCCATTCTAAATACGATAAAGTAGACATAGGTGGAGGATTTGTAACAGCTACCGTTATCGAGAACAATCGCCAAACAGACGAGAAATTTTGCTTCTGTTTAAAGAAATTGCATCTAACTCAAGTTGTCACCATTCATACATTAAGAAAGACAAGACCTGATTCACCCACAAACACGTTAGAAGTTTTATTGCGTAAAGACTGATAAGTATTATTGGTAAACAAGTACAATAAAACGATTGTACTTGTTTAAACTTATTTTTCCATCCATACAACTGTTGTATGCTTATAAAAAAGAACCTGCTCCACAAGTAAGAGAAGCAATTAAATACAAACGCATCTCTTGAGTAAAATACAGAGTTGCTGTGATTTTGACTCACGAAGCAATTAATAAAGAGTATAAAATATCGTGCAAAACTGAGCGTAATTTTTTTGAGTAGCAGTATAAATTACGAGAGATATATTGCCAGTGATTTCAAGGCTGATCCCAAATAACTACTCAACCACGCGAAACATAAACAACACGTCAACTTCATAGTTAAATTAGTAAAAGATGAAAATTGCCATATAACCCCAGACAAAATTTTATTAACAAATACTCTTCATAATCATTTCCAATTTTTATTCGCTTTAAAACCCGCAAATAACAAACTGCCAGAGTTAAAAAAAAGAACGCTCTTAACTTGCTATTTGAATTATTACAATATAATATCTTCATGATTACAATATAATACTGAAATGATTACTATATAATATCAAATTCACTGATGTCCAACGCAGGCTGGAGAGCCTTAAAGAATGCAAATCAATTAGTGTTGATGGGCTTCATCCCATCAAAACCAATTGATTTTGAACTTCCTTTACTACATATCTTACACTAGTTTACCGTAAATTGATTAAAGTTTAAGAATATTCCATTGTTCCGTTAACTTTAAGTTTGTTCCATTGTTTTATTCACTTTATTGACCTCTGGAGAAGATCATACGTTACGCCTATCTTTAACTCACCAGAACAAAACTTACATTTGTACCCTGCAAAGTTCTCGAGAGCATCATACACAATCGAATAATGAAAATCTACAATGAAAACAACTTTATCACTAAAGAACAACATGGTTTTATGAACAAAAGAGGTTGCTTCACAAATCTACTTGAAGCAAGAGATATCGCAACTAAAGGTGTTTACCGACTAAGTGTTTAAAGTAACGCTATTGATGTAATTTACGCTGACTTTAGTAAAGTCTTTGGATAAAGTATAATATTGTCGGTGGGTCATTAATCAATTGAATAAAAAATGGGCCTATAAAAATGAGATTATAGCAAGTGGTAATTGATTACCATGATTGTAAATGAATGAGCGTCACGAGCAAGGTGCCGTATAGTTCAGTTCTTGGTCCACTACAATTTGTCCTCTTTTTAAACGGTTTCCCTGATAATATCCCTAAGCAAATAAAAATATACGCCAACGATTAGAAAATTATAGGAGTTATCAAATCAAGCAAAGAAACTGTTTTCTTTCAAAATGACATTAACAAAGTAGACTGGTCAAAAAATGGCTTTTGCTATTTAACGCAGACAAGTGTAATGTGATGCATATGGAAAGAAAACAAATCCACACATAACTACACAATAAAAAAAGAAGATAATACACATGATCAACTACAAGTAACTACCTCTGATCACGACCTTGGTGTGTTTATTTCAGGCGACCTCAAAATCAAACAACAGGATGATTTCGCAGCGTCAAATACTACTTTATACTACTCACACTTAGAGTTTTGCTATCCAAGCATGGTCACTCTATCTCAAATACAATATAAAAAAACTCAAACAAATCCAACGTAGAGAAACTAAATTAATTACTAAGACCAAATATCTTTCTTGTAAAGAAAGTCTCTGAAAACCAGAAGGAAACGTAAAGATCTTTTTCAACAGTTTAAAAAACTCATATTTTCGAAAAAGTTGACTTCACTCCACAAATAACCGCTTGCAACTTCACACTATGGTCTACGCAAACACAATCTTCGCTTAGAAAAACAGAATGTGTAGAAATGCGCTGAACGATTCCATTATTTGACAAACCGCGTCGTAAATGATTGATAAATCGAAATCAGAAAAGCATAAAAGCATTAGCCAATCAACATAAAAAGTCAACCGGATACACCGAGTATCTTCAACATAGAAGTGCCTGGTGACGTACTGGTGACGTACTTCTTCATTAATTTTAAGATTAAGACAATTTTATTTTTTCAAAAATTTATTTTTGGAGAACATTGCGACGTTTTTGTAGTTAAAGAAATTATTTACTGAATATAAAAAACTAAACTGAAATTAGACTTGTCCCTTCAATTTATAAGATTAATTTTTACCTAATTTGATCATACAGCTATATTATTTAAGTTATAGCCTTGTCCTATATAAAACCTTAACATCAATGTAAATTAGACTCATAATTTTTATGGAAAAAATTAGTCTAAATTATTATATGACTATGTATTTTTACAATGGATACATTAAAGCTACATTGTATAAATTTTTTATGTAAATTTGTTATAAAAATCTGAACTTTTGAAAAAATTGTTTTGTAAACTTTATATATGGAACTTATTGGAAAAAGAAAACTGATATTCTAATTTTCAAAAATCAATATTTCATCGAAACCAATGTTACAAATTTTTCCGCATATAATGTTTGATTTATTTGATCATGTTTTTAATTTAATTTTACGCAAATAACCTAATAAAAAATTGTTCCATTTGTATTACATTACATAACTTACATTAATATTAATGTATTAAACAAAACCTAATCAAACATCCATTCTAATAAGAAATCTTGAAGAAACTCTAATTGACCCACGGCAAAATATCGTGATTTATTTTGTAATAAGATTAATAATTATCTTATAATAATCATAACAAATAATATTTATGCTAATTAGTCGTTTTTCGTTTTGCATGATTACGATAACTTTTAATGGTAACGAAATAAATATCACCTTAGAGACAGTTACTAAGAAACATTCATTAAATCGTTAAAATATTTGACACATGGTATTATTTATTATTATATTGGTTTATTTTCTGTTTTTGCTTTACTAATACTAAACTACATGAACAGAATTAGTTACATATGGGGGCGTTACACCTACTTCTGTGTTTTGTTATTATTGGTAAATTTATAAGTTAATTTTTTCTTCATTTTTTTTTAAAAATTGTTATTAAAAATAAAAATAATATTAAAAAATATAAAAATATATGAATAAAATATAGATCAATATTTATTTAGAGTGATCTCCAAAAACAAAGCTATTTAGTATATTTTAATGTTGCTGTTTTTTTTTTTTTTTTTTTTTATTTGAAAATAAGCAAACCTAAACTAACTCCTTAAAATCCTACTAACCACCAAAAACTTCTCTTTTGATACCTTAGCATAATTTTTGATACGTTTTGATACGTTTCCATACTTAATTCTCTTTTGATACGATTGCATACTTAGTTCTCTTTTGATAATCATTGACACACTTTAAGAGTATTTTACAGTACTCGAAAATTTTATAAATATTTTTTTCTTATATGAATTCAAAATATAGTTGGTTGAAAATTATTTTTTAAAATAAGGTGCTTTGTTAACTTATTTTATATGTATTTCGCTTTTTATTATTATTATTTTTTATTTTGTATTTTAAGCCTTATTTGTATCATATTATTTTTATGCATTACATATTCATTTTTAAAAAGTTGAAAAGTTATTACAATTTTATTTAAAGATTGGAAAGTTTTTTAAATAAACAAATAATAAACAAAAAAATAAAGCTTTTTTCCTGTTTATTATTGATTTTATAATAGATGATAATAAAAAATAATTGAAGTTAAATTAATTATTATCTTTATAATAAGGAACATACTTATGTTTTTTCAGTTTATTATTAAATTCTTTTCAATTGTGTTTAATTTGTAAGATAAATAAATAAAGTAAAAAAAGCAAAAACCCTGTTCTATGTAGCATGCCAAAGCTCTTTACATGTATATCAAACTAATTACAAAAAATAACTAAATAATCATTCTGTAAAAAATATTGCTGTTTTAAACTAAGAACTAAAACGTCTAGATTTAAACATCTATATGGAAGTTTCCCAATTTATTTTTTATTAAAAACTAAAAACATATTACATAAAGTGCGGTAAGAAACATTTTGTAATATATGTTACATGAAGTATGGTAAAAAAAGCATTTTGTATATGGGCTGTCCATAAACGACGTCACGCATCTAGAGAAAGGAGGAGGTCCAGACTTTTGTGACGGATCTGTGACAAGGGGGCGGTGAGGGTTAAAGAATTGTGACGTCACAAAAAGTGTTTTTTTTTAATTTACTTTTAAAACGAAATACAAATACAATTCGAAATGAATACAATTATACAATTACAATTCGAAATGATGCAATGAGATTTTTTATTAGACTTAATGCAGTCACGCGTTAAGTAGTGACAAAAATTTACGTATAAAAAAGTTTACATTTTACCATAAAACAAAATAACATAAAAAATTGAATATAAAAAAGTATTTAAAAGTAGCTGTTTAAACGTACGAATTTAATATTTCTCGACCACATTCGAAAATTTGTTTCTCAATTAATTTTTAGGGGCATCTGATTTGTAAGCGCCGATAAGTTCTTTTTATAGAATGAACGTATTTTTGACGTGTACGTTTTAGCATATCCTACAAGTAGCACAAAGGCTTTTCAAGTAGAATTAATTCAGAAGTGGAATGAAATAAAAGTTGATAAAATTTAAAAATTAAAGCGGATCATTTGGTTGCAAGACCTAAATGCTCTTTCCACAATTAAAAAAGGAACACTCCTAACATTTCGGGCAAAACAAACGTTATCTACTAATAAACCTTCTGCTTAACAAAAATCTTCCGACTTCAAATTTGCAGTATGATAAAAAAGATACCGATATTGTAGGTGATGAGTTAGAACCTGAACCTAATACTGCCTGCTCAGAAATATAAAATTGCTCCAGCCCAACTGCAATTGCAGACACAGAATGAATTTCTGAATTCTGAATTAGTCGGTTTGTGCAAGCAGCAAAAACGTGAAATGCTTTTCATTTGAACAAGATACTGAATTGAAAGAAAGAAAAAGAAAAAAGACAATTTAGAACAGCAGTTGAATATTTATGAACATTTATCCAAGAGGAGGGGGGGTCATCACTTTGTGACATAATATTTTAGAGGAAGTCAAAACATTTGTGACGTCTTGTGACGAGGGGGAAGGAGGGGTCAAAAATTGCAATAAATTGCGTGACGTCGGTTATGGACGGCTCCATATGATATGGGTATATATTTGGATGATTCAAAAACAACAATTTAAAAAATATTCAAATCTGTACTGTTTCCTTTTTTGTTAAAAATGAATAGTTTTTGAGTCATAAAATTTAAAATAATAGTTTTTACATAAAATGAATAATATTTTCAAAATTTATATACAACTTCACTTCTTTTTGAGACCGAGTATAAAACATTTTGAAATTTTTTTCAATAACAATAAGGGTTTGTCTGTTGCTTAAGTTGCCTAAGTTGTCTGTTGCTTAAGGATCTCTTGTAATACCTCAAAAAATAGTTGATTAAAAATCTTTTTAATCCACTATTTTTTATTATTTAGAATACAGTGATTTCGATATATATCCAATATATAATTTGAAATTGTTTTTTTTTTTAACGATTTTAGTATATATACATATATATACTAGGCTTTTATTTTAAGCTTAACATGACTAAATATAATAAACAAAATAAAAATATATAATAGGTTATGTTTTCGATGACAAGAATAAGTACATTTTTTTGCAAGCTCCCAATTGTTAAAGTTTTTTTTAATTTTGTTGTTCTATTTCAAATTATATATATAGTATTTTAAATTATTTAATTATTTTGCAATTAAATCTTAAAAGTGTTTGGATATTTATTATTATACTAAAAGTTTTGATATTATTATATTAGAAGTGTTTTTTCATTCAGCAAGTGTTAAAGTGTTAAATCTTTTATAATAAATAAAATAATAAAAAAATTTTATTTGACGTAAGCCGCAAACCTAAGGAAACGATTTATCACATATAAATTTGCTAACTTTTTGCACACAAGACATGCATAACACTTTTACATATTGGGAAAATTGTTAAAAAGTCATTAAGATAATATATACTCTTTGTTATAAACAGTGTATTATAAAATCTAACAAACCTTTGAATGTTTATAGGTTTATGATAACTAACCTTTTTTTTGGTGCTATAATAACTAAGTATACCAAGTATTGAGATTTATAATTTATGAAATGAAGTTAAGCACTCTGTTATTTAAAAAAAAAACGAACTCTTAAATTAAATTAGTTGAATTTTATATAAAAAATAAACTTCTTACATTTTTATATTAAATATTTACAAGCATATCTTTTTCGCTTGTTTTTTACTTTTGGCAATAAAAAAAGTGCATTGATTTTGAGAATTTGGTTTTAAATCTACAACTGTTTTTCAAAAAGTAAAATAATCTAAATTGATTTTTGTACAAAATATGCGAGTTTAGATGTCTACAGAGGTTATTGAATAAATCTTTAAAGAGTTATTAAGAAAAACTCATAAAATTTATTTGTTTTAAAATACGTTTTAAAACGAGTTTCTATCAATGATATAATATATATACTAGATGCCTTATTTTGATCCGAAAAGTGAAGCTGCTTTTTCCCTAAATAGAAATGGCTTCCACACACCTATATTATAATATTCTGCCTTTTATACAAATGGCGAATTAAGTTTGTAAACAAAAAAACACCTTCACTTTTCGTCCAATAAACTCCCGCATGTAAGACATCTAGTATATATTAATATATATATATTAGGGTGGGACGAAAAAAAAATTTTCTGATTTTCGACTCTCTATACCGCAAAAAACCTGTCTTAGGGTAGTTAAGGATAATGCAAAAAAAAATAATTATAATATTTTACGTCTGGGTTATCAAATAATCAAAATAAAATTATATCAAAACAACTTGTTATGGCGAGAAACACACCAATTTTCCAGCACATTTTGAGAATACTCTAATGCGAACTTTAATAGGAAAATGATAAAAAGCGAGTATTTATTCAAATATTCAAGCACGATGCGCTAGCTCCAAACGTAAAATATTTGTATTATTTTTTTTTTTGCATTTTCCTTAGGTACCCTTGAGGCGTATTTTCCGCGTTATAGCGAATCAAAAATCGGAAGAAAAAAAATTGTCGGCCTATCCTAATATATATATATATATATATATATATATATATATATATATATATATATATATATATATATATATATATATATATATATATATATATATATATATATATATATATATATATATATATATATATATATATATATATATATATATATATATATATATATATATATATATATATATATATATATATATATATATATACATATATATATATATGTACATATATATATATATATATATATATATATATATATATATATATATATATACATATATATATATATATATATATATATATATATATATGTGTGTGTATATATATATATATATATATATATATATATATATATATATATATATATATATATATATGTATATATATATATATATATATATATATATATATATATATATATATATATATATATATATATATATGTGTATATATATATATATATATGTATATATACATATGTATATATATATATATATATATATATATATATATATATATATATATATATATATATTAATATATATATATATATATATATATATATGTATTATATATTACACCTTTGAAGTCGTATTTTTTTATAACACCAGGGTCATTAGCGCAATATCAAAAAATTTAGCACAATATCAAAATATTTCAAATTGTTTAGAAATAACTTGATGACTTATAGGGGCTTCATTAATCAATAACTTGATGACTTTTAGAGGCTTCATCAATCAAATCAATTGTCATTAGCTTTAAGAAACCCTTAGCACAATTTTTTTAAAGCAAGTTATTATGAAATGATCTTTTTGTTACACCAATTTGAATATAAATAGCCTATTTTGATAGTACCTAATATAAATGTAAATAGATAATATTAAATTTTATACCATTAACACAAAAAAATATAATAATCCTATTTAAATTTTATTTACATTTACAGTTTATTTTCTGCTTTAGCTCTTAAGATATATTGTCCTCCGTTTTTTCTTTTTTTTTTTTTTTAATTTATTATCAATTTATTAAACTAGCTGTTTTATACTTGTCCTGTAAATACCAACAGTCTTGACGTAAATATCAACAGTCTTGACGTAAATATCAACAGTCTTGACGTAAATACCAACAGTCTTGACGTAAATACCAACAGTCTTGACGTAAATATCAACAGTCTTGACGTAAATACCAACAGTCTTGACGTAAATATCAACAGTCTTGACGTAAATATCAACAGTCTTGACGTAAATATCAACAGTCTTGACGTAAATATTAACAGTCTTGACGTAAATATCAACAGTCTTGACCTAAATACCAACAGTCTTGACGTAAATACCAACAGTCTTGACGTAAATATCAACAGTCTTGACATACTATAAGCATAATAATAACAAACTCCTTTTTTCTGTAATTTTTCTTTTCTTTGTGAGTTTATTAGTGGGTGAAGCACATTATGGGTACACTAAAATAGAATAGACATAAATGGCGTCACGTAAAGTAAATATATTTATCTACTATACTACTAAAATAATAATACTAGTAATAATAACAATGATAATAATAATGAAAATAACAATGAATTTTTTTAGTTTTATCATGTACTTCAAAATTATTTTAATTTAGAAAAGAGCCTTGGAAGAGTGCTCCAAGTGAAACCATCAGTTCATGAGAAAATGACAAAGGCTGAAATTGCTCAAATCTTTGGTGTTAATGAACATAGTAAAGGTAAATTAAATAAGTGAAAGAACAAAAAATTGAATTGCTGATAACAGCATGAACAGAGGTTCATAAATATGAAGGTTTTTGAACCTCTGTAGCTGATAACAGCTACAGAGGTTCAAAAACGTTCATAGCTAAAGAGATAATTTTTTTTTTATAAGAAATATATTATAAAAATTTTTTTGCTTTTTTTTTAAAAAAACAAACAACTTTTTTTACAAAAAAAATTTAATTAAATTAAAAAAACATCTAACTAAATTAAAAGAAAAATTAATTTATTTTAAAATAAAATTCAATTTTTTATAGGTAAACCACCTTAAAAAAAATAAAATTAATAATTCCAGATATGTTGTAAATTTTTTTTAGATACCAAGTTATAATATACAGTTTAAGGAAATTTTAAAAGTTTAAACGCTATTATTTTAGCTACAATATTAGAGTTTTTAATAAAACATATTTGTATTAAACTATTTATAAAGGATGACGATTGCAATCCCGGGATCCTGGCTTTTTTTTTAAACCTAGAAATCCCAGGATTGTCTAACATCAATCTTGGGATTCCCTATAAGATTGAACAAAAAAAAAAAAAAAAACGTTGTGAAAGAATCTATAAAAACAACAACAATTTAAGTAAATATTTCAATCAAGTAATTTAAAAATAGAGTAAAATTTCAGAAAATAATTGTATTTTTATTTGTCCGATAAAAAAGGTATCGAAAAGGTTTGCAATATATTCTGTTGTTAGTCATTCTGTTCTGTTCTATAATTCTGCAAAACAAACTTTATTTAAACTGAAAGAAAAGCGCTTTTTTTATAAGTTAGACTCTAAGCATTAAAAATTATATTTGCAGGACGTATTTTACAATTAAAAGTAACTCAGCTGTTTGAAAATATTTTCTACTGGATGAGAAAAATTAGACAGTGACATTTAAATTGCCAAACTGCAAGAAGGTTTTATAATTCGGAGATGGTTCAACAAAAGGCCATATACACACTTTGTCGGTGCATAATGTGAATGTTGAAAAACCAACCCAACCTAATATCACCGAAGAAAGCAAAAGAAATCTAAACCACTAACAGAATACTTTTCTATTCATAAAAGGGAAGATAGAACACTTCATGATACACTAGCTTACCTAAAGCAGATATTCATTTAATGTGATTTGTTCTTCAACAGGTTTACGTGCAGCTCTAATTGCTATGGTATTCAGAAATTTACCAACGTCAGTAAACATATTTTGTAACTACGGATTAGAGTACAGCAAAAAAAATAAGATTAGATTTAGTTTATCAAATTATGTTATACGAGGTAGGAGAGAAACTTTCTTTATCTTTAGACAAATGGTGTAAATTCACTGTAAATGATGTAAATGAATTACTAGTCTACAATCATGAAAATATAAGACGTAAAATTAAACAAAACAAATTTCATGAAAGATGTATGTAAGAGGGTATAGCATATATGTAGGTGGAGCATTTATTTACTTATTTTTACTTTATTTATAGTTGACACATATAGTTGTAAGAATGATAGCTCTATAATTGGCTATTTTAAGTCAACTGATACTTGTCCTTCAAAAATAAGTATCGTTTTAAATGTAAACTGTAGAATAAATACCGATAAATATATAATTAATAATAAAAAAAAGTCAATTAGAGTGTCAAAAACTAACAAAAACATAAAGATTTTCTTTTACTTTACCTTCAAAAATAAGTATCGTTTTAAATGTAAACTGTAGAATAAATACCGATAAATATATAATTAATAATAAAAAAAAGTCAATTAGAGTGTCAAAAACTAACAAAAACATAAAGATTTTCTTTTACTTTGCTATACCCTCCTATTTAGCTCGTTAATGTATCCGATATCTTAAATAAAAACCATGCATAATATGCATGCGTATTGCTTGGGAATTCAGTTTTTTAATTTATGTTTAAATTCCTTCTAAGATGAAGATGTTTTATAAACTTTCGGGATTAGTTTTATCTAGCGTACCTAGGACCAAATTTGAGGTCCTAGGTACGCTAGATACGCTAGAGATTTTTCTTGTACAGCATGAGCATATTTATTATGTCATATTTATGCCTAAAGCTAGACCGAAAATGAATGCTAAAATATTTAAATAATAATCATATTACTCACTTTCTGATATTTTTTCAATAGAAAGAAATGGTTCTGTTAGTTAGGATGGTGTTCCCATTGCTCACAAAAACATGTGAACTTATTATAGATAGTGATCAATAAGTTTCTGGGAATTTTTTTTTTTTTTTTTTTATTTCGTCATTAAATGAATAATCTTTTACAATGTTTTTTTACAACATAAAAATTATAACATTAAAGTTTCGACCGGAGCTGGCAGAAGACATGATCTTATTATCCAGCCCCGTTAATATAACTAAAAAATTCAGCCGATAAAAATGAAAAAGGAAAAAAGAAACTAAAGCAAGAACTGATTTTAAGAAGAAAAGAACTTAAAAATCAAATTATTATTTACAGAAAGAGAAAAAAATAAAAAATAAAAAATATTAATTATTTCTTCTCATTATTATTATTATTTTTTTTTAATTCTCTATTTTATTCGACTTTTATTTTTATTATACACGCACGCACACACACATACGCACACATACACACACATACACACACATATGCACACGTTCACACAAATATATGTCCGTTCATATATACATACAAATCAAATAAGTCTGTATTACATTCCATCTACAAATTGCGTAAGATATAATAAATATTTCATTTACAAATTACGTATTGTAAAATAAAATAATATCATACATGTTCTAAGTACCATACAATATAATTGTGATGTTGAGTCAATTTATAAGACATTAAATAACTAAGATTACCAAAAGTTTTTAATAATACGATAGTAATTGCTTTGTGTCAAAACCAAATAAGTGTTGTTTTGTTGCACGTTTAAAATGTTGAGTTGAATTTAAAGTTTTTATATTGTTTGTTAAAAGCAAGTTCCATAACCGCGGCCCTCGGCAAGATATCGAAAAATCAGCTTGTTTTGATAATGTTTTTGGTATAATAAAATTATTTGTTGAGTATTTAGTTTCGTATTTGTGGTTTAAAGAAAAAAAATAAGTTTGGAAAATGCTTGGTAGCATACCATTTTTAAACTTAAACATGAAAATAAGTATATTAAGAATATTTATTTCATAGACATTAGGCACTCCAATTTCTCTTAGTAGTGGTTTGGCACTAGCGTATTTATTTGCATTTAATATCAAGCAAATTGCTCGTTTTTGTATTTTGTAGATCATATTTAACTTTGAAGGATAAGTACTTGCCCAGATAATGTTGCAGTAGCTGATGTAGCTATGAATAAATGCAAAATAAATATTTTTTAAACAATTTGTGTTTAGGAGATGTTTTGTTTTATACATAATACCAATAATTTTTGATATCTTATTTTCTATTACTTTGATATGGTTACTCCAGCTAAGATGTTCATTAAGAATTACGCCTAAAAATTTGATTGAGTATTCTCGTTTAAGTTTAGTTTTATCAATTAGTAAATCAGGTAGCTTTAAGGGGAGGGTTTCAGATTTTGATAATTTTGTAAAAAGAATATATTTACTTTTTTCGATATTTAAGGAGAGTTTGTTAGCCTTAAACCATTCGTTCAGGTTTTCAAGTTCTTGATTAACAGTGTTAAATAATAGGCTAAAAATAGGTTTGTGTGGCTAAAGAACACTTGCGTATCATCGGCAAAAAGGACAAAGTTAAGTATGTTAGAAGATAAGTAGATATCGTTAATATAAACGAGGAATAACAATGGACCGAAAATTGATCCTTGTGGAACCCCATACGTAATGTTTTCAAGTCGAGTTACAGTGTTGTTATATGATAAAGCTTGTTTCCGATCATTAAGGTAAGAGCGAAACCATTTTAAATTGTTATTTCTTATTCCATAATTATATAGTTTATAAAGAAGAATTTTGTGGTCAACAGTGTCAAACGCTTTTGAGAGATCGAGGAATACCCCAAGAGTGTATTTATTGTTGTCAAACCCATTTAAAATTTCATTGACAAGTTTGGCTACAGCGTGTTCTGTTGAATGGTGTTTTTGAAAGCCATATTGGTTATTATTTAGTAGGTGGTGGTTTACTAGATAATTGTTTAGCCTATTGTGCATTATGCGCTCTAATATTTTTGAAATGCATGGCAAAATAGAAATAGGCCTGTAGTTAGAAGCAATCGAATCGTCTCCGCTTTTAAATATAGGAACAACTTTTGCTAGCTTTAGCTGGTCAGGGAACACCCCATTTTTTAAAGACAGATTACAGATATGCAGAAGAGGATATTCAATAATATCGTAGACATTTTTTACAACGTTCACGCTAATGTCATCTAGTCCTGGACTTTTGTTTTCTTGTAAGGTATTAAATGCATTTTTAAGCTCATCCGGAGTTATTTCAAGCTCGTTCATGATTGAGGCTTTTTTTTCTAGATACAGCTTATAGCATTTTTTTCCACGAGTTATTTAATTAGCTAGTTTTTCCCCAATTTTTATAAAATAGTTATTAAATTTCTCTGCAATATCTGTTGCCTTATTGGCTACTGTATCATTTTCATCTGTTTTTAAGTATTGCGGGAACACCTTTTTTTTTTCCTGTTACCTCTTTTATTACGCCCCATGTTTTTTTAGTGTTACCGCAATAATTTTCTAATAAATTGCAGTAATAGTTTTTTTTTGAGTGTTTTTTTAATTTTTCAAATAAATTTTTGTATTGTTTATATATTTTTTCGTTTTTAAAAGTCTTTTTTTTTAAAAATTTTTCATAAAGTTTTTTTTTTTTTTTGAAGATTTAATAAGCCCTTTTGTCATCCAAGGACTTTTAAGGTTTTTGAGTTTTGTTAATTGCTCAAGCTTGGGAAACGCTTTTTCGTACAAAGTTGTAAAAGTGTGTTTATAAATATCGTAAGCTATGTTGGTGTCTTTGCAATTAACAACCTGATCCCAGTTTTCCATTGATAA